TGGAGCTGCAGCAACTACTTTTTTTTTTTTTTGGAGAGGTTTTCGCTATAGGGCGCGTGCGCTCGCCAGACAGACAGAGAGAGACATAGAGACAGAAAACGAGAAATCGCCCCCCAGGGGGGATGGTCACGCCGCAATCCTTTCTCCTCCGTTCTCCTCTAGGGATCTTGGGCACGCACGCACACACGCCTGGTGTGTTTTAAGCCACCGGGTCTGGGTCGCAAACTGTGGTCGAACACGTGGGAGTCCAGTGACATAGCCATTACGCTAACTGCTGGTTCCCTGCAGCAACTACTAATATTTGAGAGTGTGAGAAAGTAAATACAAAGTTGAAGTGGATGGTCAGCTCCCTAAGGATGGTAACTGGAAAGTTGGTGTTACTCTTTGATGACATCAGTGAATCATGGACCTACTAATTAAATTGGAGATCTTTAAAGTAAGATAGCTATAATGCCCTCAGTTCCTAAGCTAATTTAGAATGAAAAGAAATTGAAAGGTAAACTCTGCTAATTATAGGCAATCAACTAGACATTAGTTACATTGTCTTGAACTTCTCCAGGAAATTCAACTAAGGCAAATGTTTCAACTATCAATACAACCAAAAAAATTCTTCCTTCCTTCTTTCCTCCCCTTTCTTCCTTCCTCCCTCTCTCCCACCCTTTGTGTTAATTTTTGCCAGAGGGTACATTCTAATCCCTTCTCCACTTCTCCATAGTCAGGGTCCCATGTCTGCACGCACACATAGTTGCTGTGTTTTCAAGCCACTGCCAGGTCCAGAATTTAAACCGAGTAGTCTACCATGAGGGATCTCGCTCCCTTAACCACCAGGACACAAGACTGGTCTCTAATAACATTATTTTTCCCTGTTTCCACATTCATCCAGTTAAAGCTTTCTCCTGGTACCCCTTCCAAAGAGACAGATGATTTCCTGTTTGGAGCTGCCACATACATGAATCCATTGGTATAGTTTACTCAGTGCGAAAAAAGAGGACATACAGACATAGCCAAATTTATTGGAGTTTATTAAGCTGGTAGCATATAGGGGGACTCGTGTCTTTCAAAACCCCACAGCCCCCCAAAAAAACCTCTCAAAAAAAATTAGGGACCAGCAGTTAGCGTAATGGCTATGTCGCTGGATTCCCATGTAGCCGATCACAGTTCGAGTCCTGGGTCTGGTGGCTTAAACTCATTGCCGGGTGCGTGTGCGTACATGCCCAAGATCCTGAGAGGAGAATGGAGGAGAAGGGCTTGCGGGGTGGCCATCCCCCCTGGGGGGTGATTTCTTGCTTTCTACCTCTCTGTCTCTATCTTTCTGGCGAGCTCAAGTGCCCTACAACAAAAAAAAAAAAAAAGAAAGAAAAAAGAAAACCTCTCAACAAAACAAAAACCCTGCAGCCCCGAGTGAAAGGAGAGAGGTGCTTATAAAGGCAAGGATCACAATCAATTCTGGGTTGATTACAGTGGAAACTGAGGAAGCAGTGAGGAGGAAAGGGAGTGGGGCTACCATGTAAAAGCAGTTACAGAAGCTGAATCAAGCAGGTTAACTCTTTCTTTCTTCTTTAAAACAATTATTTTATTTGAGCAGAGAGGGACAGAGCAAGAGAGAGGGAAAGTGAGAAACCAAGACGCCAGGTCTGGGACTCGAACCGTAGTCAGCCCTGTAGTAAGGGCACTATCCAGACCTTTGTTTAATGTTCCCCATGGCTCCAAGCAGGGGTTTGGTGATTGGTATTTACATTGCTAAGGAACATCTAAACAAAGACAGTAAGACTATTAATCACTCTATTTACTCTGGGAAAAGGAGGAAACAAGTATAATCTAAGTTCAAAGAGGTGCTTCTGCTTCACCATGCTCAAATAAACTCTTAACATTTTTAAAAATAAGTTTTATTTATTTCTCTTGAGAGAGAAAGACAGACCGACCTCCAGCAGGTCTTCCACATGATGATCCACCTCCAGCTCCAGCCAGCTCAGATTACCAGCACAGCTGTGCCTAGTGTGTTTAGAGAGGCCCCAGGACATGAACTCTTGACCGTCCCATGTGGGTCCTGCTGTGCTACCAGTGAGTCTCAACTCTTTAAAATTTTAATGTGTCAAAATTTATCTTTTAACAGTTCTAAATTTGGAACCCTCTATTTCCAGCCCTTCCTACCTTTTCTTTTGGTGGTGGTATTTCTAGAGTTTTTTGTTGTTGTTGTTTTTTGTTATAGGTTGCATGTTCTCACCAGAGAGACAGAAAGTGACAAGTTATCCCCCAGAGGTGATAGCCATGCTGCAATCCCTTCTCCATTCTCTGCTTGGGAATTTGGGCACACATGCACATGCACCTGGCTCGAGTTTTAAGTTGCCAGATCCAGGACTCAAACCACAGTTGACTATGTGGGAGTCCAGTGGTGTAACCGTTTCGCAATCTGCTGGCCCCTCTCTCTACTTTAAAAGAAATATTAAATTTTAATAGTTGGATTTTGTGAAATGTTGCATAGTGCATAGTACATAAATTTCTATATATCTCTCACATATAATTTCTCTCTCTCTCTCTCTTATTTTTATTATTATTATTTTTTGGAGATTTTTTTCTTTTTGCCACAGGGTAAGTGTGCTTGCTGGAGAGACAGAGACACACATGCAGAGAGACAGTGAGAAATCATCATATCCACCCACCCCCAGCCCCTCCCACTCCCCACCATGGGGGATGGCCATGCTGCAATCCCTTCTTCTCCATTCCCTCTTGAGATTTTTTGGGCAGGCATGAATATAGGCCCAATGTGTTTTTCAGGTCACTGGGTCAGGGGCTCAGACCATGGAGCTGGTCGTGTGGAATCCAATTTCTTACTACCACATTCTGCTGGCCCAAGTTTCTCCTATTAACTCTTACTATTGTGGCACAATTGTCATAAATGTACCATTAAAAAACAAAAACTAAAAACCAAAAACAGTGGAACAGTGGTATAAACCAAGCTCCATGCTTTATTTGAATTTCACTAATTTTCCTCCTAATATCCTCTTTCTAATACAGGATCTCCTCCAGGAAACTACACAATATTTAGTTGTCATAATTCTTTAATTTTCTCTGGTTTTCAATAATTTGTCAGAATTGACTTGCTTTTCATGATAGACTTTTGGAATACTGGGTGGGGTTTCATTTATTTTTCTCCATGGAAGAACTGGGGTTATGGCTTTTAGGGGTGTAAAAGTTGTCAGACTCAAAATGGAGTCATTTATGTCAACATGTGTTAAATTCTGAATAAACCAAGCCAGGGTAGGTCATGAAGGGGGTGTTTTTTATTCATGCTGACATCCCTGATAAGAACTGGTACAAAGGCTCGGTTGGAATGGATCATTGTCTCAAACCAACTAGTTTAACTCTCATCCTGCTGTGGCTTTTGCCTTTAAAATCTGCCTGAAGATTGTAAGACCTGGGTACACATGCTGGAGATAACCTGAATATGTCCATGCACACTGCAGTCCTCAAATTTAGTACGAATAAACTCCTTCTGCTTTAAGTATGTTGCCTTAGTTTACCTCTTGGGTTGCCAAGAGGACTACCACAGAGGTGAAATACTCTTACCACATAGTACGTGGGGAATATGCTGCCAACATGATGGATCCCCGAGATTATCCTTGACAGCCCGGCTGAGGCCGTGTATGCCAGGTTTCTGCACTGTAAAATCTTTTCCCCCAGTTCACATAGTACTCCTTAAAATCAAGTAACTATAGCCCGTGATCAAGGTGGGGGCTGGTGCGGCAGAAATCGAGCTCCCTCATCTGGAAGTAGTTACAGCAATTATTCAGAATTTACTTTCCCATCACAAAGTAAAGGTAAATGTTTGAGGTGCTGGATGTGTTAACGGCCCTGATTGGACAATTATGCATTGTACTCCTGTATAGAAAAGTGTCATAGGTACGACGACTATGTGTCAATTAAAAACAGTAATTGCGGGACCAGCAGTTAGCGTAATGGCTATGTCGCTGGACTCCCACGTAGTCGACCGCGGTTCGCGTCCTGGACCCGTGGCTTAAACTCACCGGCGCGTGTGCGTGCGTGCCCAAGATCCCGAGAGGAGAATGGAGAAGGGATTGCGGTGTGGCCATCCCCCCTGGGAGGTGATTTCTCGCTCTCTATCTCTCTGACTCTCTATATCTGGCGAGCGCACGTGCCCTATAGCAAAATCCTCTAAAAGAAAACAAAAACAGTAATTTGATTTCTCTTGCTGGACTGTGACCCTAGGACTGGCCAGAAATGGCGAAATGGGCGGGGCTAGTTGAACCGCGGCCGTGGGGCCTAGGTAATCATCTTCTTTATTTTTTAAACAATTGCATAAGGAGAGTTTGCCTCAGAGGGCAAACTACCCGCGGCAGGCAGTGAGTACCCTCGCGCAAGGCTCGGGTCGTGCGGAGGTTGTGGGGTCGGGGTGACTTCGTCCATGGCTGGGCAGGGAGTCCGAGGTGACGCCGGGGAAGCAAGGCGCATGCGCGCTGGAGGAGGCTGCCCTAAGCCGAAAGAGGCGGCTCCGCGTGTGATTGAGGACTCGCGTCGCTGGGGATGGACCCGGGCGGGCCTGAAGGGATCGGCCTCTCTTCCATTCCATCCGCTTCAACTTGCGTTCACTTGGGGGCGCTGTTACGCGTTCTCATGGGCTTTGGGCCCGCCCACTGCTGCCGCCATCTTCAAGACATTGGCCCGCACCCAGGTGAGCCAGAAGTTCTTCCGGGTTGGGGCCTCACGTCGCCTAGGTAACGGGAGCCGGCCGCGGCTTGGCGCTTTTCCTTTTCAATGCGGTGGAAGAAGGGAGGCTGAGTTCGGGTTGCAGACCGCCTGGCCCCAACCCAAGCCTAGCATTTTCCTGTGCGCCCCGTCACCTCCGTCCTGCGGGAGTGGTTCGCTTGGCGAACCTCACCAAGGCGCGCGGGGACCGGTGCCCACTGGCGGAGGCGACCTCGGCAGCTTCCTGTGCATCCGTGAACCTTCCAGGCCGGAGTCGGCTGTTGGTACTGCCGGGGGGTCTTGTCTCGTTCTTCCGTGCCGGCTTGCTGTTTTTCAGGAGTGGCTTTTAAAGCCACTTATATACTTAAAACACGGAAATTATGCATATAATAATCATATCATTTCCCTTAGGTACTTAAGTCACATGATAGGATACAGGAATAGTAAAAGGCCCCTTCCCTAGCTCGTTTCTAAATAGCCTTTGTCAAATGCTCTTCTATGAATTTATGCATGTGCCCAAAAGCAAACCCAAAAGGAGTCATTGAGTCATTTAATTTTTGATGTTTTGTAACTTTTAACTTGATATAATAGCTTGGATATTTTTACATCTTAACACGGATCTTTTTCCTATTCATAGCTAAATGTAATTTGTTTTCTTTTTTAAAAAGTATTTCTTCCATGAGTGAGACAGTGAATGAGAGGGGGCATCTTCAACAGTTCTGGACGCTAAGATTCATCCCCAGCATCAGGCAGCCATGATCATGAGCACGTGTGCGTGGCTACTTAGGGAAAGCTCTGGGTTTGAATTGGAATCTTCCCAGGTGGGCTTGCATCACAGAGCACCTTATTTTACTGCTGTATCCCATGACCGCCTTGCCCCCTAAATCCCATTATTGGTTCTTATTAATGGTCCACTTTATTTCTATGTCTTGCTGGTGCCTTTAGTGTATTTGTAATTTATTTTTTTTGAGAGAGATTTTTGGTATTGGGCTTGTGTACTTGACAGAGAGACAGAGAAACAGAAAACAAGAAATCCCTCTCCCCCCCACAACACTGAAATGGCCATGCAGCAATCCCCTCTCCTCTCTTCTCTTGGGATTTTGCATCTGGTCATGAGTTTCAAGCCGCTGGTGGGGGATTCAAACTGTGGTCAGCCACATGAGCGTCCAGTGCCTTTAACCACCACATCACCTGCTTGCCCCAGTGGGTTAATTTTTTATGCTTTCAAGGAAAGTCATGTGGAAACTCTGGTAGCCATTTTAGACCTTATGCTTATCTCTGGTTCGTATGTTTTCTTGGATCTCAGTCTCTCCTAATCTGTTGCAAATAAAAATTTGCATGTGTGTATATATATATATGTATATATATATATACATATACATACGTATATACATATATACTTAAAAATAGTAAAAAAAGACCTTCATGTACAAAAATACTTGAGGAAATAGTTTACTGAAATATACATATGTATATTTAAAGATGCAAAAAGTGGTTATTATACAACTGGAACGTAAGATGGAGAACTGCTTTTTATTTTAGATTTGACAACTACGCAGAAACTGTAGACATAGTATGCAGAAGGGAAGAGGGAGGACAAGCCGTATGAGAAGACGAAAACTCTTCAGAAGTTCTGAATCAAGAGGAGGTACAGTTTTTTTTTTTTTATTGGTTCCAATGATGAAAAAAAGAAAATCGGGGCTGGTGGGTGGCCTGGTGATTAAGGGCACTGGACTCCCACATGGCCTACCACGGTTCAAGTTCCAGATCTGATGGCTTGCTTTCTTACTTTCTCTCTCTCTCTTGTCAAATTAAAACAATTTTTTTGCTCTAGGGCGCATGTGTTTGCCAGTAAGACAGAGAGAGACAGAAAGCAAGAAATCACCCCCCAGGGGAGATGGCCACGCTGCAATCCCTTTCTCCTCCATTCTCCTCTTGGGATCCTGGGTGTGCACGCACACCCGCCTGGTGTGAGTTTACGCCACTGGGTCCAGGACTCAAACCATGTGGGACCATATGGGAATCCAGTGACATAGTCATTATGCCAACTGCTAGTCCCAGCTTATTAACTTTTATGATCTTTCTGATACTCTTCATTGGGGATTTTCTTTTCTTTTTTTTTTTTTTAAGCCACTGGGTCCGGGACGTGAACCGTGGTCGACTACGTGGGAGTCCAGCAACATAGCCATCATAGCCATTACGCTAACTGCTGGTCCCTGGGGATTTTCTTCTTTAAAGATGATCTGATTATACAGTGATTCTAATCATCTTTAATTCTCTCCTCTCCTATTTAATAGTGAATGAGAGCTACAAGTCTGAATTTATAGAACTAAAGAAGTGGCTGAAAGATAGGAAGTTCGAAGATACAAAGTTAATGCCTGCTTGTTTTCCAGGTAAGATTTGCCATTAACTCTCCTGACCTTCCTCACATGAGAGCCATGTAGTAAGCAAGGGTGATTTTTAAAAATTTTTTAGAGATTTTTTTTCTGTAGGGCAGAGTGCTTGCCAGAGAGACAGAGAGATAGAAAGTGAGAAATCATCCCCCAGGAGGGATGGCCCCTTTGCAATTCCTTCTCCTCCATTTTCCTCTCAGGATCTTGGGCATGCATGCACATGTGTCCAAACTGAGTTTTAAGTTGCTGGATCTGGGACTTGAATCGCAGTTGACCACGTGGGAGTCCAGTCGTGTAACCATTACGCCATCTGCTGGTCTCAGCAAAGGTGATACTTGTAGGAGGGCTTTGTTTTCTCTGGGAACACATCTATTGCTATGTGCTGAGTTTCCTGCTTTGTTGCATATGATTCACTTGTATTAAACCTTGTTCTAAAAATGAATGAAAGTGGATTGCTGAGAGAAATTACAAAATGTGGGAACCAGCAGTTAGCGTAATGGCTATGTCGCTGGACTCCCACATAGTCGACCACGGTTCGCGTCTCGGACCCGGTGGCTTAAATCTCACGCCGGGCGCGTGTGTGTGCGTGCCCAAGATCCCGAGAGGAGAATGGAGGAGAAGGATTGCGGTGTGACCATCCCCCCTGGGGGGTGATTTCTCGCTTTCTGTCTCTATATTTCTCTCTGTCTGTCTGGCGAGCGCACGTGCCCTATAGCGAAAACCTCTCCAAAAAAAAAAAAAAAAAGAAATTACAAAATGTGAAATAAAATTAAAAATAAAAAAAAGAATATGGGGCTAGGAGGAGGCACAAAGGTTAAGGTTAAGGATCCCACATGACTGACTGTGCAATTTGAGTCCTGGACCTAGCTCCTTTAAAAACATGCTGGGTACATATGTGCATGTGCCCAAAATCTTGAAAGGAGAATGGAGGAAAAGGGATGTGGCATAGCTATCCCCCCAGAAGTGATTTCTCACTTTACCTCCTTTCTGTCTCTCTCTGGTGAGTGCATGTGCCCTATAGCAAAAAACAAAACAACAAAATAAAACAAAAACAAAAAAAGAAAAAAAGAAAAGGATAATACAAATAGAAAAATAAGCCAGAAAGAATAAGGGTAGTACATAAAAGATCTGAGAAGGGATTACAACATGTCCATTACCCCCTGGGGGAGTGATTTCTCACTTTCTTTCCTTTCTGTCTTGAGAGAGCACACATACCCTGTAGCAAAAATCTTTAGCAGGAATTGGCAAATGATTCGATGGAATTTGTAGAGAGTGAGATGTTTGTAATGTACTCTGCCTTGCCTAGTATATCTATGATAAATACAATAGTAAATACAGATTATTATGGTATGTTTTTTGATATTAAATGCTATCCATTATAAAGTAGAGGTAAAATAACTTCCAGATTTATTTCACATGCCAGATTTTGTTTGTATGTTTGGAGAGAAATTTCCACTTAAGATCAGTACCTGAGTTTTATTTATTTATTTATTTTTAAGAGATTTTTCACTATAGGGTGTGTGCACTTGCCAGTCAGACAGAGAGACTGACAGCAAGAAATCACCATCACCTCCAGGGGAGATGACCATGCTGCAGTCCGTTCTCCATTCTCTTAGGATTTTGGGCACACATACACACACACACACACACTAGCATTTTGCACACACACACACACACACACACACACACACACACACACACGTGCCTGGTGTATTTTAAGCCACCAGGTCTGGAACTTGAACCACAGTTGATGACATGAGAGTCCAGTGACATAACCATTATGCCATCTGCTGGTCCCAGCACATGAGTATTTTGAAGGATGATCTTATAGAAAAATATCCTCCATTAGTAATTGATTTTAGGAGGATTCTGACTCACAGTTATGATTGGCTATACTATGGGATACACAGAATAAATAAGTTCTTAAAACTAGAATCTTAGGGGCCATTAGTTGGCTTGGTGGTTAAGATGCTGGACTCCCACATGTCTGATTGTGGTTTGAGTCCTGGACCTGGTGGCTTGCTTTCTCATTTTCCCTCTTTATCTGTTTCTCTCTGGTCAAATTGAATAATAATGATAATAATATAAGTAAAATAGATAACTTTAAAAATCAACCAACAAACAAAAACCAAACAAACAAAAAACTAAAATCATGTGTGTGACCAGATATTACAGTGTACTTCTGATTGAGGAGATGAGTTAGAACTCATTGAATCCATCTTTTCCAGAAAACTGAGGATTGAGGCAGGAATTCCCATGAACGAGGAGCTCCTCAGTAATCCTGCAGGGAATGATCTTGCTGAATTGTATTCCCTCCCATTTGACAGAAGGAAGGTCAAGAACTAGGATTTTTTTTTTTTTGAGAGGTTTTTGCTATAGGGCATGTGGGCTCGCCCGACAGAGACAGACAGATAGAAAGAGAGAAATCACCCCCCAGGGGGGATGGCCATGCCGCAGTCCCTTCTCCTCCATTCTCTCGGGATCTTGAGCACACACGCACACGCGCCTGGCGTGAGTTTAAGCCACCTGGTCCGGGACGTAAACCGTGGTCGACTACGTGGGAGTCCAGTGACATAGCCATTATGCTAACTGCTGGCCCCAAGAACTATGAATTTGGACAAATTAATACTGTAGGTCTTTTCTTTTTTTTGGAAAAAAAAGGTTTTTGCAATAGGGCACGTGTACTCACCAGAAAGACACAGAGAGACAGACAGAAAGCGAGAAATCACCCCCCAGGGAAGATGGCCACGTCGCAATCCCTTCTCCTCCATTCTCCTCTCAGGATCTTGGGCACGCATGTACACGTGCCCGGCGTGAGTTTAAGCCACCTGGTCCGGGACGTAAACCGTGGTCGACTACGTGGGAGTCCAGCTACATAGCCATTACACTAACTGCTGGTTCCAATACTGTAGGTCTTATATGGTCATAAAATAGCTATGCCTGCCGGAGGAGCATCCTTTTGTGTCCATCTGACTGTTCCAGGAGGGAAACCTTAGGCATGGAAGTTGCTAGGGTGTTAACAGTACAGCTGGTGGGGTTACTGTGTCAACTGTGCTCCTGCCACAGTGTACGCTTATAGGGAGCGTTAACCCTGGATCTACCCAGCTAAACCCCATCTGATGGGTAACGCTGGGAGGGGAGGGGAGGATGTATTCTGTAGGCATTGCGGGACCTCAGTGGTTTACTGGCCAGTCAAAATGGTTTTAAGGTCATTACTGGGGAAAGCTTAGTCTAGTAGTACATAGAAGTGGCCTGAGGGTTCAGCCTTGGAGATTGGGTGGGCATTAGAGTAAGACCCCTCACTGTCAGCTGGTAGGCCACAGCTTTAAGGTTTCTGCAAGGAGCCCAGCAGCAGATCTGTGAAAAGTCCATCATGATCTTTAGGGTGTCAACTCTGAAGCTTAGATTGCCCTTCAAGCGTTACAACACACAAGGAGGTCAGGACATTTTCCAGAATAGTTTTCTGACCCCTCTTTCCCTTGGGAGTCAAAGGCTGAGAGACACCCAGCTTTAGCTTTGTGTAATTTTAAAGTTCATTCATGTGTTTTATTCAAAATGGTATCTCTAGAACCTTGAAGATATAGTAGAATTTACCCTTTTTTCATCTTTATTTTCCTAAGGTACAGGAAGAGGCCTGATGAGCAAAACATCCCTGAAGGTGAGAACTTCTCTTTTATTCTTGGAACCCAGTGTAGATTTTGCTGCTTTGTTTTTGTGGGTCAAATCAAGTGAACTAAATATATTTCGGACTTTACAGACATTTCTTACCTAATACCGACATGTTTGAATGCAGTTTCGTCAACTAGGGTTAAGTTTGGTACGTATGGAGGATAAGCCCAGAGTCACGGAGCTTACACAGCGTGTAAAGTTTGCTTTGCTGTCATATATACATGCCTGGAGTAGGCATACCCTGAGCTGGTGGGGCAGAGGCCCAGACTCCTCCAGCGCTGTCACACCCATAAGGAAACCCCGCACTTGCAGGTCCATGGAGCAAGGGGGTAAGGAGGGGCAGGCTTCTACCCTTTAAGGAAATTCCAGCTCCCCATCTTACCATTAACGGTCACAGCCCCTGCTAGCTGCAAAGGGAGGAGGAGGCACCATCCTTTTCCTGGTGTGATGCCCTCAAATAGAATTCTCTTTCAGAGGGGGACGAGAGAAGGTATGTTGGGGTCAGCGATGAGCAGTCTCTGCCAGGGCAAAGTTTAGAAATCAGGTCCTGTTTTAAATGGGCCAGGGGACCTGCTCTCATCTGAGAGGCTGTGTGTAGTGTGGTTGGTAGAACCCACCAGGTGGTGGGAGGAGACTTTTTAGCCTGTCCCAGGATTGCCTTCAGCTGTCTAGGACCCACAGCAAGGCTCCTCATCCTGCTCGCTTGTTTTCTTAGCGGAAAACAAGGAGGTGAAAGCCAGAGATGATCTCCAAGGTCCCTTTTAGTTCTTTTTGTGCTACTTAAAGGGTATCTAATATGTAGTTTTCTGTGAAACTAGAAATTTCTTCCTTTATTTTAAAAATTGCTTTGTTTAAAAAGTATTTTTAGTTCTTTATTTTAAACTCAGCTACATACATATATTTAACTTAAAATATGGTATCTTTTGATGTCATAATTCTGTTATACTGTTTTTATTATTTAAAAATAAAAAAAATTTTTTTTTCTTATTTCCAGAGGGCACATGCAGTTGTGTGAGTCATATGCATGCAAGAGAGAGAGAGAGAGACAGAGAGAGAGAAAGCACTCCCTAAAAGGGCATGGTCACACACTATTTTCCTTAGTTTCTCCTTCCTGTTAGGATTTTTGGCTTGTGTGTACATATGCCCTGTGTTTCTCAAATCACCAGAGCTGAGACTTTAACCACAGTTGGCCATGTGGGATCCAGTTCTCTGAATTGTGACCTACATGACAGGACCTTTTAACATATTGTGGTAAAATACTCCTGAAATTTAACACCTTTCTTTTTTTTAGTTTTTTTTCCATAGGGCATGTGCATTTGTCTGAGACAGCGAGAAGGAAAGTGAGAAATCACCCACTGGGGGATGGCCATGCCATAATCCCTTTCCCTCCATTCTCCTCCTGATATTCTGGGCATGCATGCATGCTCGGTTTGATTTTCAAGCTTCCAGGTCTGGGATTCAAACTGTAGTTAGCCATGTGGGAATCCAGCACCTTAACCACCACACCACCAACATCTTTATCATTTTTAAGTGTTACAGTTCAGTAATAATAACTTTCACATTGTTGGGCAATATTTTTATTTTTTGAAGAAAGTACAGTTGGCTTTAATCTGTAGCAGAATTTGGGGAAAACAAATGTACCTCATGAAAGTACGGCCCAGAGGATCTTCATGTCACAATTTGCCCCCAGTCTCAGGCAGGCCAAGTGATCGGCATGTGTGTGCTCCTGGTGTATTCAGGGAACTACAAGGAAAGTCCTGGGTTTTGAGTCCCCATGTGGGTCTAGTTGCATTACTGTTGTGCTTTCACCTGGCCCTAACATACGAACCTTTATTGGGGTTGTAATCCCTGGAGTTGGAGCAGCCCTGTCTGCGTCTGCTGACCCACTGAGTTGGGAATGAGTTGGCTCATTGGTGGGCTCATTGGTAATTTGTGGTTGGGCTATAGTAGGTTCTCGTGGGATGATTGTGGGATCAAGGGCTTTACAAGACTCATACTCACAGGTCCTTCCCAAGACATAGATGTCTTAAACTTTACTTTCTTTTTGTCAAGGAGGGACAGGTGATTATTTCATTGCCTGAGAGTTGCCTGCTCACCACAGACACAGTGCTTGGCAGTTACTTGGGGGTGTACATTACTAGGTAAGTGACCACGCACATGGATCTGGTGTATGTGCTTCTGTCAGTGGCAAATAAGTAGTTGAAGGTCCAGATTTTTAGGACTCGGCCACTTATGTAGCTAAGAAATATCTGAAGTGGTTCAAGGGATTTTTTTTCTGCTTTAGAAAGTTTATCATTCATTGTAAACTGTATTTTTAAGGTTTCTCTTTTTTTTTTTTTTTTAGAGAGATTTTTGCTATAGGACATGTGTGCTTGCCAGAGAGACAGAAAGTGAGAAACCCCCCCAGTGGGGATGGCCATGCCACAATTCCTTCTCCTCCATTCTCCTCCTGGAATTTTGGACACACACGCATGCATGTCCGGCGTGAGTTTAAGCTGCCAGGTCTAGGACTTGAACTGGTCCACTACATGGGAGTCCAGCAAAAATAACATTATACCATCTACTGGTCTCTCTTTTTAAGATTTGTACTAGACTGCCTGGGGTTGTTTTGAATCCTGATCCATCACTAGAAAATGGTGAAAAAGGATTTATTCACTCCTGAGTGCCTTGGCTTATGATAGCTTGCTCTCAGTTACACTAGGTTTTAAGAAACACTAGTTACTCTCCCTATTTATTTATTTATTTTGAGTGTGGGGAGGGACAGACACCCTCAGCATGGTCTTCATGCTGTGATTCACTTCATGCCTCAGCCAACCAGGATACAGGACACACACATATCCAGAGTGCTCAGGGAAGCCCTGGGATTGAACTGGGGACTTTCCTGCATGGGAGCAGCATTGCAGAGCAATGTGGTACCCCCCCCCCCCCCTTTTAGGTTTACTGTGCTTGCTTGAATTCTGATTCATGTATAAAGGGCTGTTGCTATTATAAAAAAATATAATAGTTTTATCTAGATGTACAAGAGAGGAGGCTGAAGTAGGGATCTGGGAACTATTAATATATTCTAGCTCATGGAGTAGTGAACGTTTGTTTTGGGGTACCTCTGAGGATAGAGTAAGTAAGACTACCCACCCTATAATCTTTTTTTTTCTTTTTTTGGAGAGGTTTTTGCTATAGGGCACGTGCGCTCGCCAGACAGACAGAGAGACAGAGAGACAGAAAGCGAGAAATCACCCCCCGGGGGGATGGTCACGCCGCAATCCCTTCTCCTCCATTCTCCTCTCGGGATCTTGGGAATGCACGCACACGCGCCCAGCATGAGTTTAAGCCACCGGGTCCAGGACTCAAACCACGGTCGACTATGTGGAAGTCCAGCGACATAGACATTACACTGGTCCCCCCACCCTATAATCTTAAGGGTTAAGAGTTAATACTGTTTCTTAAGTCAAATTAAGCTCTCGATCCTTTATTTTTTAATTATTTTTATTTTAAATAAAGATTTTTGCTATAGAGCATGTGCATTTACTTTAAGAGAGGAAGAGAGACAGTGAGAGGGAAAGTGAGAAATCACCTTCCCCAGGGGATGACCATACATCAATCCCTTCCCCTCTATTCTCCCCCCTGGAGTTTGGGCATGCACACAAATGCACCTGGCGTGATTTCCTTTTCAAGAGAAATCTTTGCTATAGGGCATGTATGCTTGCTTGAGAAACAGAGAGAGACAGAAAGACAGAAAGCAAGAAATCATCCCCCAGGAGGATGGCCATGCTGCAATTCCATCTCCTTCATTCTCCTCTTAGGATTTTGGGAACATGTGCACACATGCCTGGTTTGAGTTTCAAGCCACTGGGTCTGGGATTTGAACCATGGTTGACCATGTGGGAGTCCAGTGATGTAACCATTACATCATCTGTTGGTCCCTCACCTGGTGTGTTTTTTTAAGCCACCAAATCTGAGACAGGAACTGCAGTCAGCCCTGTGGGAGTCCAGTACCTTAACCGCTATGTCAGCTGCTAGTGCCTGGACTCTTTTGTTTTGTTTTCCCCGCCATGTTTTTTAAAAGAGGGTTAATGCATCTTTTTAGGCCCGAGTAGAGGAAAGGCTGCTCTTGGTATTAACATTTTCTGAATAATTGTGAAATTTTGAGTACAAACATATGACAATATAGGAATCTGGACTTTGAAGGATTAATGAAAACTTTTTCTAAATGTATTCATGCCATATGAGATCTTTTTATTGGTAACTAATCAAAACAAACATTCTTCAATATATAGTTTGTAATAAGGCAAGCAAGTTTAGGAATAAGAGTTTTGAAACTGCAGCAAGTATATAATGAGTGTATTAAGTTTTCAGTCTAGGTTGGTGCGGTCTAACAGAACTTTCAGCAATGACAGAGATGTTTTGACTCTGTGTTGTCTAGTATGGTAGCCACTAGTCACAGATGGCTATTGAGCACTTCAGATGTGGCTCATCTGACTGAGGAATGGGATTTGAAGTGCTGTTTAATTCTAAATAATTTAAACTTAAATACCTGCGTGTCACAATGCTGCTATATTGGGTGGCACAGGTCTGGATTTTTTCTAACCATTTTTTTCTCCTACCAATGTATATATATATTATATACATAATGTATATATATTATATACATTATGTGTATATATATATATCTACACATATGTGTATATATAAGTATATGTATACATATATATCTATGTAAATTTGCTAAATGGCATGTGTGCTTGCTAGAGAGAGAGAGAAAGAGAGAAAGAACACCCTTCATGGGTGATAATCATGCCATGATTCTATTTCCATTTCTCATTTTGGGATTTTGGCCATGCATGCACATGTGCCAGGCATGTTTTTCAAACCTCTGGGACTTGAACTCCTCAATCTCCTATGTAGGATCTGACCACTTTCACCATCAGGCCACCAGCTAGCCCCACTACTGTGCTTTATATATACTCATCCAGGTGAAGCAAATAAACTTGTGGCATAAGCCTTAAAACTGGAAAACCAAGTGTAGTAGCAAGAGCTTTTTGCAAAAAGGATCCTGCAAACAAACCTACAATGCGGGTTACTGAATCAGTTTTTCTGACACTTAACACGTGGCTTGTTCAGGGTGCATGGGTTGGGGTCATGCTTTGAAGAGGAAACCCTGAAGGAAGGAAAGAGTTCTTGAGTCCATTTAGAGTGTGTGGGCAGTTTGGGCACAACCCCTCTGACAGCAAAACAGACTACCTAGCTTATTCTGTATTTCGAATAAAAGTAAGTCCTTTAAACTGTTTTTAATTTTAAAAGGTGGAAGCCTCCTCCGTCTCCTCTGCTGGCTCTGTGCACCTTTTTAGTCTCAGAAAGGCATGTTGGGGACCAGTCTCCCTGGAAGCCGTACCTGGAGATTTTACCCAAGGCCTATACCTGCCCTGTTTGTTTGGAGCTGGAGGTGGTGAATCTTCTTCCCAGACCTTTGAAAGCAAAGGCTGAAGAACAGAGAGCCCGTGTGCAAGAGTTCTTCACTTCCTCCAGGGACTTTTTCTCTTCTTTACAGCCTCTGTTTACAGACGCTGTTGACAACGTCTTCAGCTACAGTGCCCTCCTGTGGGCCTGGTGCACCGTCAATACCAGAGCTGTGTACCTGAGGCACAGGCAGCGGGAGTGCCTTTCTGCAGAGCCTGATACTTATGCACTTGCTCCGTACCTAGATCTACTGAATCATAGCCCTAATGTCCAGGTGAGGAACTGACAAGGGGACCTATGTTCTGTTTTGATAAGAAAGATTCAGACATGTAGAACTTGTGACTTTGAACAGTGAGCAGAACTATAGGAGGGGGTAAGCCTCTTAGACCAGCCTGCTGCCTCTCTCTCTTCTTGACCCCACTATCCCTCCTGCATCTTTTTCTCCCCTGTCCCATTCTTCCACTCTTGCTCTCCAGGCCTGCAGAGCCCCATCCTGTATCCCCTGGGCTGTCTTTCCCAGTAGCGCCCTGCCTGGCTCTTGTGTAGAGTCCTTCTTGCACTGAAGTCTAGCTTGCTTTCCTGTGCCATCCACACTTTGTGGCAGAGCTGTCATAGCAATTTATGCTCTGGTCACCAGCTGACTTGTCCTCTCCCCAAAGAGCTCTGAAAACTTTGAGGATGTGAACTTTTCTCTTTGTTCCTTTTTGTAACCCCAGTGTTTAGGGCAGGCCCTGGCACACAGTAAGCATTCAGTAATGTTTACTGAAGGCATATATATTTGTGAGAAAGGAGGCTGAGAAATCTTGAATACATACTGCTTCTGGAAACATTGTTGCAGATCTCCCCTTGCCCAGCCCTTTCCCTTTACAGCAAGTATAGGAGATTAACTGTACTTGCATAGCATACTGGGTAGGGGTCTGGCTTGGATGGCAGAGGGGAATCCGTGTGTTGGCTCACCTATAAGCTATTCAGGGCACTGTGGCTAGACCCATGCCTGTGCTGCTGCAGCATGAGATCAATAATGCCTGGTTGGCCCATATGCCAGAAGAGAAGACTTGGGGGAGGCCTTACTATGCTTTCTGAGGTTTAGGACAGTCCCTGGCCTGTCTCTGTGTTAATTTTGTAGATAGATAGATGTATTTTGTTTGTTTGTTTTGCTAGAAGGTACATGTGCTCGACAGAGAGAAGACAGGGAGAGGAAAAATCATCCCCATGAGATATGGTTGTGTCATGATGCCTTCTTCACATCTCTCTCTCCTTTTAGAATTTTGGGCATGTTTGCACACACATCTTGTGTATTTCTCAAACCACTAGGTCTGGGGCCCTGACTACATGATTGGCCATGTGAGCTCCAGCTGCCTTAACCATCAGGATGCAGAGCTAGCCTAGTAAGATGTATTTCTAAAAATTGAAAGCAAAGGAGTCTGAGGTTAGAGGAATGTTTTTGTGGTTGGTATTGATGAAATCATGTCAGGCATGTGGAGAGCAATAGATGCTAGACATAGGGACCCAGCCCCACTGTATGACTTTATTTTGTTGGGGCTTTTGGCGCACTTGTGCTATAAAGCAGTAATTTTACACTTTAGCATGGAGGGACCATTAATTACAGCTTGTATTTGGCCTGAGGACCCTGAGCTCAGAATGTTTTACAGTTTTTTGTTTTTGAGAGGTTTTTGTCATAGAGTGTGTGCCCTCACAGAGACAGAAAGCAAGAAGTCACCCCCTAGGGCGGATGGCCATGCTGCAATCCCTTCTCCTCCATTCTCCTTTTGGGGTCTTGGGCAAGCACACAGACACGCCTGGCGTGAGCTTAAGCACTGGGTCCAGGACTCGAACTGTGATTGACTACATGGGAGTCCAGCGACATAGCCATTATGCCAACTGCTGGTCCCAGATTTACAGTATTAAAAGATTATAAAACAACAGTAGAGATGGTTCCATAGCCTGGTGCTTGAGGCAGCCAGATCCCACATAGCCATCTGTGTGGTTTTAGCCCTGGACCTAGTGGCTTGAGAGACATGCCAGGTGTGTGTGTGTGTGTATCTGTGCATGCCAACCCCCCCAAAAGGACAGAAATGGAGAAGGGATTGTAGTGTGACTGTGTCCCAGAGTGATGCTTTTTTTCCCTTCTCTCTTCCTGTCTGTCTCTGGCACGTGCACGTGTCCTTTGGTAAGAAAACAACAACTTGGACAGAGAACACAAGGCTAGCAAAGCCTGCAGACCATAGCCCTAATCTACTGTTTATGCTACAAGCTAGGAAGTTAAGCCTGTTACTCATCCTCATCCTCGCTGGGATTTGCTTCTTAGTAAAGAAGACTTAATGCTTATACTCACTTCTTACTGTGGGCACAGTTAAGACTTCTCGTTTTCTTCAGTACCTATTAATTAACAAAACCGTCACAAATATTGACCAAGGTCATGCTACGTCACAGCTGTATCTACTAAGACCTCAAATTTCATGTGCTCCTTGGACATCTCGTAGAGCCCCAGTGGCCTGACTTTAAGTTCCCTTTTTCTCACTGGTTATGCCCTCTACCTAGTGGAAAGCCTTCCCACCCCAGCTAGTTCCTTTGTCAGCACATACCAGTCTACAACTTAACAGAATTCACTCCCTACCAGCCTGTGAAATGATTCAAACAGCCAGTCACACCCTCTCGTGGGAACCAGGGGACATTCATCCTCCTGCTGCTGTAAAGCCTGCCTCCCACAGCCCTGCTCATTCACAGTTCACGCTGTGCAGCCCTGTGTGGCCCAGCAGGGTGTGCTTGTCTTCCCTGTGCTGTGACTGTATGTGACTGATAAACTGCTGGGAGTCTTATCTGTCCAGTGTTGGATGTTGAGTGCTAGGCCATCCCTAGAACCCTAGCAAGATTTTCTCCCTCACAGTGGGATGCAGTTGAGGCAAACAAAACAGGCTGCAGTGCAGAAGTGGTGTTTTCCCCACAAGTAGTTAAATTCATTGGGGCATATTTGAAAGCTGCACTTCCCTTAAATTAATACAATAACCAAATAGCTTTTAGTTGTATGCCTTTAAAAAAACAATCTAGGGAACCAGCAGTTAGCGTAATGGCTATGTCGCTGGATTCCCACGTAGTCGACCGCGGTTCGTGTCCCGGACCCGGTGGCTTAAAACTCACGCCGGGCGCGTGTGCGTGCGTGCCCAAGATCCCGAGAGGAGAATGGAGGAGAAGGGATTGCGGCGTGACCATCCCCCCTGGGGGGTGATTTCTCGCTTTCTGTCTCTATGTCTCTGTCTGTCTGGCGAGCGCACGCGCCCTACAGTGAAAAATCTCTCTCAAAAAAAAAAAATCTAACAATGGGGGACCAGCAGTTAGCGTAATGGCTATGTCGCTGGAGTCCCACCTA